TTCATTAATTATGCGAATCGTTTAGTTTTCTTACAATTGACTTGTATTGTTCGATTCTTCATATGCTTCATATACTTGCTGGAGAAAATTCAATATGAAATGTTTAGGCGGAGAGCGCTGCTGCCTCAGTTTCAATTGCAAAGGATATAAAAGTCTTTTGCTCGCCCTGAAGCGACTTCTGAGTGTCATCCAGTTTAACGATCGCAAAACGTCTTCTTCGATTGTAGGCGTATTAACTAACGTAACTAACGAGTGAGTGACCCCTTTTACAATCTTCAAACTTTTCATTGATCTCTATGAATATTTGTGCTTGTCCAAGTTATACACAGTCTACTTTAAATTACGACAAAACTAGATGTTTTCCCAAATTTCATATACTTTTGCAGTAATTGCAAGTGTGAGATGGAACAAGAAATTTTCATTTTCAATTTCAAAATTGTTCAAGTTGTTACAAACTGAATGACTAGTGAATGACTACTGCTGGTATTAAGATGTATTTTAGTTTTTTAGATATACCTTATCCGCCTATAAACATTTCTATGATAAGAGCAGCCCGATGCCGCGCAAAAAGTGATGAAATGTGTTTTGCATATATAATATATCATTCAACATATGTCCGTAGGATGCAATATATATATGTAGGACGACTATTGACAAATTCATATAAGTTTTTTACTTTCGGTGACCATTAGTTTACAAGTTACAGTTGCTGTAGTGTGTGAAGCTAAATGTACATGGAATTCAGATTTTTCCATGGTTTTACAAAAGCAAAATTTGCGCAACTACTACAAATGTACGTTGTAAACGAATGATTGGAATATCATGAAAGTCGGTAGTAATATCTTTATATTATTGAATCATGATCAGCATTAAATTACATAGAAGTTTTAAGTGCTTTGTTATGGCAATGGTGAGAAAAGGTTCGCGTTAGCCCGATCACAATCAGCATTTGCGTCTTTTCATCAGCAAGGATAACAGTGAAGGATGGTCTTCAGGCACGATGTATATTATTGCGACAGTGATGAACGCGTAAAGCCACTAAAGCAACCTAAAAAAAAGCATTGTTTTGGCAATTTCTGTTCCTTTTTAATTTTGCATGGATCGAAAGGTATTAAGAAAATAATATTCGAAAAAATTAGTCATATTTAGTGTAGTTCGTCAAATAATACCCACAACCGACGGAAGCGGTATATATATATTCCTTTTCCCGAAAACATTGCAATATCCAGACGAAGGCCTCAAAGACTCCATACAGTATATACGCAAACGTATCTCTTTGCCCGCCCGTCTATCTGACAGTCTGTCCGTGTAATGTCTGTTTTCTTTCTTTTCTGTCAGTGGCAGAAAATGAAGCGAGATAATTACAATAGTGGCCTTACAATCGAATTAAACATATACTTATGTTATAAAATCTTTTGTGCTTGATAATTGTAAACCTCTTGGCTGTGTATATGAGCCTATGGCTTCGTACTCGCAATGAACTCAAACGAATCATTTTATGTTTATCTCTATGCTTGTTCTAAAAAATCAAAACAATGAAACTTTGTCTTAATCAGAAAAAAAAAAAAAAAAAAAAACCGACAGGATATAATATATGAACTTGATTAAGCTGCGAAAGGATCCGATGGAATAAGAAAAACTCTTTGCGCTCCCGTCCCATGGCGTTTGATATCAAAATGGGGGAAAACTGCGTTAGAAATTTTTATTGTTTGCCACGATAATTTTCTTCTGAGTCAATTTGATTATTTTTAGCTAATTAAATATTTTTGTTTGTTTTCCTCTCTCTAGGTATACAATAAAAAAATTGTCTTTTCTTTTTTTATTTATTTATTTGTTCTT